AAATGTCAGAAATTTGCCCCCATAATCCGGCAACCTGCTGGAGATTTGAACTTGCTAATAAGCCCTTAGTCATTCTCATAGTGGGGGATGGATATTGTCGAACCTCTCCCAAGATCCCCACTAGGCAAGAAATTCTTGCTGGTGACAACCGATTACTTTACCAAATGGATCAAAGTCGAGCCCTTAAGTCATATTTGGGATGTGGAGGCGAAGAAGTTCGTGTGGCAGAACGTCATCACCCAATTTGGAATCCCTAGGGCTATTGTTTCTGATAATGAGACTTAATTCAATAGTGGCCCGTTTAGAGAATTCTGCTCAGGGTTCAGAATATGTAATTACTATTCTACGTCAGCATATCCCCAATGTAATGGACAGGCTGAGGTATCCAATAAAATCGTGCTGGCAGGAATCAAGAAGAGACTTGAGGCGGCAAAAGGAAGGTGGACCGAGTAATTAGTTAACGTATTATGGGTATACCAGACCACATCGAGGACTTTGACAGGAGAAATCCTTTACGCCTTGACATATGGGGTCGAGACTGTCATCCCTTTAGAGGTGGGACTCCCAACAATATGGAGCCGAGCCTTCGAATTGGGAAACAATGATCAAACGCTCGTTAGGGATCTCGATTTGGCCGAGTAAAAGAGGTCATCGGCATCCATCAGGCTAGCAAGGTACCAAGGGGAATTTCATGTCAACACCGGAAGAAGGTTCAGACGAGAGATTTTCAAGTCGGAGATTTGGTACTGCTAAAAGTGGTGAGCAATTCTTGCGACCCTACTAATGAGAAACTGGATCCCAATTGGGACGACCCTTATAAGGTGGTCTCTGTGGGGGGCACAGACGCGTATCGATTGTAACATATGAATGGTGATGATGTAATCCGGCCATGAAATATATTGAATTTAAATAAATACTATTACTGATCCAGAGTTGTCTTTATGGTTGCATTAAGATGAGCCACACGCTCGGTCGTTAGGGGTACGGTCCCGAGGGATGTAAGACTCCACCTTTGGAGCAATGTCTTCAAATTATTAACACGAGCCACACTCTCGGTCGTTAGGGGTACCGTCCCGAGGGATGTAAGACTCCACCTTTAGAGCAATGCCTTCAAATTATTAATACGAGCCACGCGCTTGGTCGTTAGGGGTAGGTCCCCAAGGGATGTAAGACTCCATCTTGGGAGCAATGCCTTCAAATTATTAACGAGCCACGTGCTCGGTCGTAAGGGCACGGCCCTGAGGGATATGTATACTCGGTCCCAAGGGGTACAGACCCAGAAACAAGTTTAACTTATAGATTCGACGTGAAGCCTTGCTATTCTAGAAGGTCATTATCAACATAAAATCATGGTCATTCCATAGAAACGAACATGATGCAGAAAGAAAGAACACTTGTAGAAAAATGAAGTTTCATTGCAATCAAAAAGGAGCTTTGCGTCCCCAAGCATACAAAAAGTTATCTGTACAAAGTTGCAAAACAAACTCGAGACATAGAAGTTTCTAGATCAACGGCCGCTAATGACCCTCGGCTTATATCTCCTCTGCTTCTCCCCCACCGAGGCCTCCACGTCGCCTTTGTAGTTCAATCCCCAAAATCTCGTCTAGCTCGGTGTCATACACTCTAGTAATGATTGGGGGCGGAGGGAAAATATCATCTATAGGTTCAGCAAGTGGCAAAGACGGGAAGATAGGAGAAGGTTGGTCAGAACCATCGCTAAGTGTGATGGGTTCATTCCCACCTTAGACCCCGACCGGCCCTTCTGCCTAAACTTGGTCACCTGGGTTGGCTCGGACTTGTTCGTCCAAGCCTTCGTCATTGGCCTCCCTTCGAAGGCTGTGCATGGCGAACAAGTTCGAGCCTACCTCGATGTGGCAGGCATGAAGGGCGGCGTCCCAACCTTCTTTAAAAGCCTTCTTCTTGGCTTCCTCGAAAACAGGGACCATTTGGTCCTGAGTGGCCAACCACACCCTCTGACATTTGACTACAGCCTTTCCTGCTCCCCCCTTCTCTGCTGTCAAGGAGTCCACTTAGGCAGTAAGTTCATTGATTACAGATTCGGACTCTTACAGCTTGACTTCGGAGGATGAGACTCGCAGCTCATACTCCTCGGCCTTCTTTATCATCGTAGCTTTACCCGCCTTAGTCTTTTTCAGCTCGGCATGAACGACATCTCGATGGCTGATGAGATCGGCGATGTGTTTGGTCCAGTCGTCGAGGATCCTCTCGACCTTGAGGATATGACCGTCCTTAGCAGCTAGGGCTCACTCGACGTTCTTTGCCTCTTGTTTGTATTCCCAAAAATGCTCATTATGACCCCCACCTGCTGGCTGGCCTGAAAAAAGGGGACTATTAGAGAACGACCAAAAGGGTGCAAGGAATACTCGGGAAAGTGTTGGACTTACCACCAAGTTGTTTCGGATGGTGCTCATCAGAAGCCGATTGTCTGAATAGCCTTTGTACACGGCTATATCTGCATCAAATTGAAACGTCTCCGCGACAGCAAAGGCCACTTCGGGGGACTGGAGGATGGAGTTGGCTTCCAAGATGGGACGACCGCTCCTGGTCTCGGCTCCAGGGACCTATTCGCCCAAGACAGACGGGCCCGGGGTGTCATACCGCCACTTCACATGACGTTCCTCAGATTGCTCGTCATCCTGAGCCCATCGGTCCTTCGACCTGTCCCCCAGAGCGGAGACGCTGAGATTGAGGTCTTTGCCTGGTCGGCACAGCTGGGTCCCTAGATGGTTGGGGACGTGGCGGCGGCGGGAGTGGTTGTCGCTGAGGAGAACTAGGCAGGGGAATGATTGGGGCAGTGTTGGAAGGCCCGACTAACCCGACGAGCCTGACTCTCCTTGCTATGGTGACAACCTCCATTGTAACAACGGTGACTGGTGGTGGATTTAACATTTCAGGCGCAAGGGGCTCGGGAGCAAGATGATCAGACTCTTTTTTAGAATCTCCCTCGGATTCTTCCTCTGCGGACGAGGAACGGTCTTCCCAAAGAGAAGGGTTGAAGAGAGGTGAGATCTGAAAAAATCGGTTGTAGGTCGGCGTGTAGCCAAGTAGAGTGTGAGTCATTCGCTCAACTGGGTCTAAGGACCAAACCCTTAGGAGGTCGACAAATCGGACTTGGGACCTCAAGGGTTAAGCAGCGTCCCGACGGTATCCTTCTGCAAAAGTACAGATAGCGAAATCAGTACATCCCTTGGGTCCAAAAATAGCAAAATCAGTACAAATCAGGAAGAAGACACACCTTCATCCCTCGGCATTTTGGGGCAATACAATCCATTATACTCGGGTCCTGGTCCTTTCTCCCAACTGCCGCCGAGCATGATTAGATCTTCTACATACCCTTGTTCGAGTCGGGCATGTGAGTTACCAAATACATTGAGGTGTCTCGAGCCTAGAGGTAGTATCTCCCCCCGGTGACTAACCTCAGGTCGTAGCAGAATAAATTTCATCTACTCCTAAGTTGGTCCCCAATCGAGTTTTTAAGGCGACTACGCCCATCACAATCCTAAAAAAGTTAACCCCACAGTGAAAGGGAAGGAGCTTCAGTTGCATCAACACTCCCAGCAACAGGGGATGGAGAGGGAAGGTCAACCCTCCTTTCATGATAGTCTTCGTCCAGAAAGGCATCATGTCCACACTTCCCATATCCCTCCTATGGTGAGTGGGGTTAAAGGGGAAGGCAAAGACAGACTCATGGATGTGGTACCTAACCTTAAAAACTTAGATATTCTCATCAGTCACTTGGGTTCTCCTCATCTTATGGGTAGTCCTAGCCTTAACAGATGTCTCCCCCTAGTTCTACTAGTTCTGGCCATTGGTGGGTGCTAAAAGGACGAAATCTAGAGGAAATGAAGAGAGAGAAAGCTCAAGTAGAAGTACTTACAAGAAGGTGGTCTTCAAAAAAGAGAGCTCGGAGGACGAAAGAAACTCGGAGGAGAACAAATGAGCACTCGGGGTCTGATTGCTGAAGAGAGGCTGAGGATGCAAAAGTTCTGAGAAGGCATGAAAACCTTCTATTTATACTACCTTAACAAGGAACGGGAATTAAAAGGGCGACAACAGACGTGCGACAACAGACGTGCAAGTAACTGTCGCTATTAATAAGGCGTGATGATTGAGCCCCCAATCTCTTTACGCCACTTGTCTTAAACTATGAAAAGGATGGTGGTTAGGGGGCAGTTGACGGGACTATAGATGACTCTATAGCCCTCAAGTTGATACGTGGAATAATGAAGCCGTTGGGATGTCTAAAGGGCGCCGAGGAGGTAAGCCGAGATATGGTGGCACGATGCAACCGAGTACGATAGCTGACATCGTATTTAATGCGATGTGACCCTTCATTTATGACAAAATGAGTGATAGTGACAAGACAAATAAATGCGCGCCTATAAGTACCTATACTCTAGGAGTCTAGGCCTACTGTCATGATGATTAAGTATTAATGACTGATGCGTCGAGATGACGCAATTGACTCCCCCTGAGGAACTATTCCCCCGAGTATTCAATGCTCAGTTGATGTCAGATGTCGATCTGGGGGATTTGAGTACTCGGGGGGAGGGGCATAAATGCTCGGCATTTGGCCGAACATTTATCCCATGCTCCTAGCATTTAATAGGAGGAGACGTGAGTAGAAAACACTCATTGCACGAGAAATGGTGTGTCAGATGTAAGATGTCCAGATGAGATTGGAGATCTTTGGTAATTATTTTTAATTCAAGTATAAATACTCTTCAAAAAAATAGACAAAGGTACGCAAACTTGAACCAAAAAAAAATTGTCCATTGAGTTAAACCTTTTGATCTTAGACTGACTTAAGCTTCGAAGGGGATAAGCCGGGTGCTCACCTGACCCCCTTTCTCTGACCCTGTTGTTCCAGGTTTGCCAGCTGAGAGATCGCTATCTCAAATTATTACAGAAATTATCCCGTGCAATTATGTATGCGCTAAACAAAGAGAAGCATCACATGGCCAAACTCACAGGTATTATCACAAGGAAAATGACATTTTGAAAAATCTAACCTTTTCGGCCACAGCAAATGCAGCCTGCACGGGGGTCATTCCTTGAAAAGGAAGCAAAGCAGTTGTGAGCTCCCATAGCACAATCCCAAAACTATATACATCAACTTTCCGAGTATAATATTTCTCCTTGATCATTTCTGGGGCCATCCAACGGTAAGTTCCCATGTTTCCCTTGGCTTCTTGACACTGTGTTTCTAAGCAAGATGTACCAAAGTCTGCAACCTTCACACGCATCTCATCATTTAGAAGCAAGTTATTGGATTTGAGATCTCTGTGGATCACCCCTTGTGAATGAAGATACTCCATTCCTCGGGAAATATCAAGTGCTAACCTCAGAATAGTTTCAGTTGAAAGTGAGTATGGCTCTTTCTTGTTCAAATACATCCTTAGAGTTCCTTGTGACATGTATTCTGTGATGATACAGTATACAGGAGGCTTTTGGCAAGCTGCAATGAACTGTAAAGAAAGAAGTGTTGATCACCAACTTAGCCGCATAACTAAGATGACATTCACAAACTCTTGTCAGTATTTAGAAAAGGTCCAACCATATATAGACCAAACATGTATCAACTTGTCTACAAGTGTTATTGCTGTCAAATTACTTATCTACCAAATGTAAACACAAAAGCCCCCTTATACTAACGTCCAAACTCCAAAGGCATATGTACTCAAAGATAGTAGGGCAGATTCGTAAGAGTGCATCAGTCCTGAATGTCAAATACGACTCACTGGTCCCTCCCCTCGCCAATCAAGCTAAAGAAATTCACTAATCTAAAAAAAAGGGACACAAACAAAATGACGAGGAAGGCTCATTAGGAAAAGAACAAGAATGTAACAAGTGGTAATCTAAAACCTTTGTATTTCAACTTATAGTGCTCTGATTATTTGCTAAGAATATGGTCTTCCATAATCTACGCAACGAAAAGAAGACAGAACTCATCCTGTGGAGAATGAGTTCTAAGATGGTTCATTGGTACTGAAAGTGATAAAGGACAAAAGGCAGGCCATAACAACAACAATCGAGAAGACCTGATGGCATATTATCTGGGAAAAATATTTTGACTGATGGAGACAATGGTGAAAAAATAGGTTTCTTGTTTCACTAGTTAACCCAACATAAGCATATTTATGATGGTTCAATCCCATGTCTCTCGGTGACCACCAATTAAGCTTTGGACCTTTATTTTACAACGCGTTTTAAACCCCATATTTGTCATTGTTCTGAATTGTACGTAGCTAAATAGAATTGGTGCAATATCAATTAAAATGTGAGGAAAATGTTTAACCTGCACAATATTGGCATGATAGAGACGAGAAAGCAAGGCAACTTCTGACTTGAATTGCTGTTCAAGCAAAGCTCTAGTCTCCTCCATGTGGGTTGGAATTCTCACCATTTTCACTGCAACTGCCCTCTGCTTATAAATCCCTCTATAAATCCTACTGTGGGCCCCAGAAGCAAACTTGTTCCCAATAAACAATTGGGAAAGATCAGCCGTCCATTCCTCTTGATCCTCCTTTGCTACTTCCCAACTCTCAACATTCTCAGAGTCCAATATCATTGACCAAGACTCCAAACTATCAAATCTCTTCCTCTCCATGCTCTCCATGCCACTATTCAACTGGGTTTTGGAAGTTGAAGGGATTAGTAAAGGTTTGCTCTTCGATTTTCGAATTCGAAATGGGTTGAAACAAGAGGTTGCCATTGTAAATTTTAACCTTCACAGGGGCGTGAAAAAGCCCTTTTTGTCTATGAAATTGACAAACCAAAGAGTGTCAAAACCCACAATCAAAAGGTGCTTTCCTTCTGAATGTGTGAATTGATTTCAAGAAGTGCATGAACTGATTCAGAAACATGGGTTCCAAAGAAAAGTGCGAAACAGAGATGGGTTTTCATGTATTGGTGACAAAACTGACACAAAAAGAAAAAGAAAGTCATCAAAATAGATGGGGAAAACAAAGAGAGAGAGGGAGAGAGAAAAACCATTTGACAGCTCTCCCTTATGCATTATTTCGGGATACAGAGATGATAGCCAATGGAAAAGGCTCGTGAAGACTTAGAAGAGATACATATAGGAGAAAAAAAGGAAACAGACAGAGATGTTGAGGTTTCATGCCGACAGAAATTGCAATGAAGTGAAGCAGAAGTTTATCAGAATGCAGTTTTTCCAGAAAGAGAGGAAAGCTTGTGAGATTTTCATTGCTTTTTTCAATTATCATCAAGACAAGTAGGTTTTTTTGGCAGTGGAAAGGATCAATTCAAAGCACAGATTTCAGGGATGTCCCGTGAATTCTTGGTTCCAAAGTAGAGAGAGAGACAGAGAGAGTGAGAGAGGGATTGCTTTTCCTGACGATCAACTTCCCTGTTGCTTTGCATCATTCAATGCAAACTTGCTAGTGGCCATGGTGTCAAAACTCAAAAAAAGGTTGGCTCTTGGTGATTTTGGATACATGTAGCTATGTTGCATCAGGAATAGTCTACGAAAACAAAATTTCGGTAATTTAATAATTTTTATAGGTGTTTCATAATTTTTGTGATTGTTTTATCACTCCCATGAGAACTGTTTTTATCACTTTTAAGATACTGTTATAAAATTTTGGGTTAATTACTTTTTATCCGTATGTAGTTTCAACTAGAAGTTCTTTATCTATTTGATATTTAATATTATGTGTATTACTCTCTTGTAATTATGCACCAAAGTGAAATAATTGATGTCGTTAGTAAAACTAAAAAATTACCTTAATACTCAAGTTTTAAAATCAAAAATTTTCATTTGGTTTACTCTTTACCGTAAAACTAATACAATATAACAACAAACCAACACATTTCAATCAAATATGTCGAGCCTTTTTTTTTCTCAAGTGAGGTTCTGTTCCGAGGAGCGAAAATTACTTATGTTTTTCTTACATATTTTTTGATGGGAGGGATACCCTACCTATTTAGGTATTATATCATATGTTATAAAGGATATTTTAGATATTTTCACAATGTTCTTTTAGAAGGAAACAATAGAAATACAACCCACAACATATTTTGGGTGTGTGCAATACGCTTTTCGATAATTTAGATGATAAAAGTAATAATTTTATTTTGATATATAACTATAAGGGGGTAATGTGTATAATTTTAAAGTATGTAAGGTGTTTCTAGTCAAAACTACATAGAGATAAAAAACAATTATCCCTAAAAAAAATTTGTTGTAAAATTACCAAAAAATGCGTGTGTAAAGTGCCTCAATGGTATTTTTAGTTTTACTGGCAATGCGACACGTGCGTTGCACTTGAATAATTTTCGTATATAAAATATTAATAAAAAATATTAGGTATATGTATACCTACATTAAATATCTTCTCAAATCTATCAAAATTATATTTTTATCGCTTGTATTATACTATAAAATTTGAAATATATTATCTGTTCTTGTTTTACCTATGAGAAAAAAGATGATAATAATTATGAATTATATAGGTCAATAGGATAAAATATAGGGTTAATAATACTTTGGGTCTCTAAAGTATGTGTTTTTTGTCAATTTCATTCTCAATATATGAATTTTGTCAATTTGGTCTATAAACTATTCAATTCTTGTTTAAATGTTCTCTAACCAAACGGTCCATTAAGTTTTTTTTGACGGAAATAACTTTGTTTTATTCTGTCAAATAGTATCACGTGACCATCACTTCTACAAAAAATTTAACAAATTGTCTGTATATAAATTGTTTAAACACTAACTAAATATTTTAGAGACCAAACTGATAAAACATGCATATTTCAGGGATTAAAAATATTATTAACCTTAAAATATAATATACTACTGTATAATATATATTTTAAAAGAATATTAAAATTCTAAAATTCAAGTTTTACTTAAAAATATACTATAATTTTTTATATATAAACCCTTAATAAAATATGAAAATTTTATTGTGATTGAAGAATTATGTTGATTTAACATAAATTATTTAAAAAAAATTACATAAAAGATTATTTTTTATCTTAAAAATGAAATGGTTGAAATTTTAGATAAAAAAATACACATATATAAGTATAATGTTATCTTTATATTTAAAATGAGTAATGTTAGATTGATGAATTTTTTAAATATTTTATGAACATTTTATTGAAAATTATAGAATGTATATATTTTTTAAGGGTAACGTAATCAATTAAAAAATTTCATAGACACTAATACTTATATATAGTGAATAGATAATTAAAAGAGATGTTAAGGGTAATTTGTAACTTTGAACACTTAGGTATATGATGGTAATTTAGATATTCAACTATGGAAGAATAGCGTGGTATTTAAATTCTTCGTAAGAATAAAATAATAAATCAATTTTTTTTTCTTTCTAATGTACTTTTATTAGTAATATAAATTATTAGTAGTATAGATGAAATATATATATATATATATATAATGTTTTTTTTTATTTGAAAAGAGTAATGATTAATTGATAAATTTTTTGAATACGTTATTGCAAACTATAATGATGCTTATATTTTTTTAAGGATTGTGTAGTCAATTAAATTTTTTTTTAGATATTGATATTTATACAAAAATAATAGAGAATTAAAAGAGATATTAAAGGGTAATTAAAAATTTTAAATACATAAGGTTGTGATTGTTATTTAAATATTTAAATATGAAAAGATAATGTGGTATTTAAAATTCTTTATAAGGGTAAAATAGTGAATCACAAATTTTTCACTTAAAGTACTTTTATTAATAGTATATAGATAAGTGCAAAAAAATATCTCTTGAAACATTGAATTATTGGACGTATAGAGATGGCAAGGAACATGTACCCCAAAAACAATATGGTGGGGAGCGTATTTGAAGGGTTGAGAGAGAGTTTGCATGTTCCTTGGGCGTTTCATATCGTGTTAAAGAATCTTAGCCCAACTTAAGTCTAATGTTGTTTTATAAACGTGAGAAAGAATTTAGAACAAGTTTAAAAGAAAGATTGGGCAGTAACAATCGAAAGGACATAAATTGTGTTTGACATAACTTCTCAAGACATGATCGGTTCCCACGATTTTGGCAAATGACTTTTGAGATTTAAGCGGATTAACTTGAATTTCAACATTAAAAATATAATAAATTGACAGTTATATTCATAATCCGACATAATTTTTGAGATGGTTTAAGGTCTTGAATTTTTGAATTTGGCCCAACTAGATCAGTTATTTCGAATTCAACCCAAATATCATAAGTAATTAAATCGAACTAAAACCGATTTTAATATACATGACATAGTGAGAAAATCTTGATATCTAAAGTACATTCTATAAGAAATATATAGAGAGTCATCAAGATGGGTGTTGCTTTCCAAAGCTGAGTTAGCTATGTTGTGCAGTCCTTCTAGTCCATGCAACGCAATGCAACTTGGTTTCTGCTGTCTTTGTCAACCGCCGTGTTGAAGCAGAGTAAACTAAAGTCAAGAGCAAAAGTTGCACAAAATTTCAGGTCAGTAGGTCAAAATAAACAGTAATATAGCCCTAGCCAAACTTTTTTTTTTTTTTAATTGTTAGGATTGTTTGGGATAATTTACACGTATTTTGATTAATTTTTTTTAGCTTGGTCAAAAACAAGACATTTATGTCGAAATTAAGATATTTATGAAGAATAAATATCTCTCATAGTTTAACCTTAAAAAGTTGTTAAAATTCGAACTCAGGACGTCTGAATTTACAGCTCATTTTTATTACGATTTAAACTACTCTAATCGAGAATTTCAAGAAATTGATTGAACCGTTGAAGTAACAAAATTACCAATGAATCACCTAAATTTTTTATATTCAACTAATGTGAATTAAGTCTCGCGAACTATTATAAAAATTTTAATTACAATTACATCGTACATCATCTATCCTAAGCGATTTTTTTTTTTGCCGATAATTTACCTTAAGAAATTTGGTGTATATTAGGGGTGACAATCGTGTCGTGTCGTGGATTTGGATTAAAAATATATCAATTCAAACACGACTTGCGAGTTAAATGGGTTAGGTCATTTGGACACGAACACGACCTAACTTGGGACACGAGTAAACACAACTCAACCCGCCTAACACGACCCAACCCGACATGACCTAACAAAAAAAAGAAAAATTTAGACC